AAAGGTAACGAAAGTTATTTACATTTTGGCGACAGAAGCTAAGATACCAATGGCAAAAAACAAGTCTTCTCTCTGGATCCCCTGCCAAAAGCGTTTGAACTGGTCGGTACTTATACGGAATAAATTTGTATTTTTTTAAAATCCTTTGAACAGTACCATAACTGAAATTAGAGTCCTTGAGAATATCTGCTATTGAATTCTCTCGATAAGCTTCAAAATATCCAATAACTGCAATTTCCGTGGCCTCGCTTATTATGAATTCTTTTTTTGCCCTTGTTTTAGCAAAAACATTTTCGTTGCCCCTAAATTTTCGATAAAGTCTCAGAAAATATCGTTCATACGGTTGAATGCGAGCGGGATATAATTCACTGTAGTATTCTCTTGCTCTCAAGGAGGATTTTCTGCACACTAAATAGCATTCTAACATATCACACTTTTCTTCATGGGAGAACATTTTTCTTTAAATTAATGACACAATAAAGCTTATAAACAAGTATTTACACTAATGTTTGACATTATTTGATTTTATCATTGTTTTCCATAGCCTTCTAGTTGCGAGTATGTCCAGTTTAACAATTTGTCGCTTATCTTAATGCTGTCAAATCGCTAACGCCATGTTGTTTTCATAGCCGTCATAATATTATAATACTGCAAATAATTAAAAATATTTATCGTTATTTTGACTTTATTTTTGACTTTAGCGGAAAAGTCATTATGAACTTTTTTGTTTAAAATTTGATGCTTTAACAGAAAAAAATATAATATACAGGGGTTTCCATTTAAAAAAATGTTATTTTACTGAAAAAAATCAAAATAACGACTCTCAATTGTTTTTTTTATTTCTCATTTTTACCAGCGTTAAAAATGCTACTAGTTTGCTAATTCAAACAACTTTGTATTTTCACTAATAACAAAGTTACTAATGGTGGACACTTAATTTGGATAACCCTGTATATATATATATATATATATATATATATATATATATATATATATATATATATATATATATTTTTTAGAAAACAAGTATATCGACGTACATCTTTTTGTCAATACCATTCGTGAGACTGCCCCTAAGACGCCACTGGAATTCGTAGGTAGCTTCCACAAAATCCAACAAAATATGCACGAGGATCTTTGAGATATTAATAAACACTTTTTTAAAAAGTATTACATCTTGGCTCAGGTATATTCCCTTGCGATTACTGCCTTTCATCATGTAACACCCTATACTTATGAACTAAGGGGTTAAATAATATTTCTCCACATGACAAAAATATCCACTATTAAATTCTCGACTCGAAAACAGTTAGTACACGCAGTAGTTGGTGTGGTACGCCGAGAAGTAACAAAGCAGGTGGTCTGATAAAGGTATGCATTGGTTTTTCTTTATGACATTAACAACGGGTAGGGTATCTGTATGATTAATTGTTATAAATCAAACCCGCCTACAAGCGAGCAAACAATTAGTTTAACTTTTAACAACAAATGGTGCGTGGATAATAGTCTCAAGTGCACTTTGTTAGCGGATTACAATATCCTATTGCCCGTTATGAGCTATTGAACTATGCGAAATTAACATTAACATTGCATGAGATTGCAAATAAAAAATGCCGACAAGTACATTGACTCTGGACTACCTATTCAAAAGTGTCAGCTCGGAAAAAGGATATAAGACTGAATCAGCAGGTTTGGAAGAATATAGGAAAACATTTCATGGGTTAGAGAAATCCTCGTTTCATGACGCAGGGAGTTTATATATTTAGCGGAACATTGTATTCCGCTGGTTTGCACAAAACTAAATGTCATTTTCTCAATGCCATACTAAGGCACAATTTCACCAGCAACAGTCCGTTATTCTCCACCTATAGGGTAACAGACCGTCAGATACAACGAATGCGCTTCAAGTTCCAATCAACAAATTTTAGCAACCAATAGCTATGAAATGTTGAAAACAAAATACTGTCAATGTATGAGATGACAACTTGTCATTGAAACATCACCAGCTTACTGAATATTAAGAAATTACATATAATTCAGTCAAAATCTTAATAAATGCTTGATTTTTGAATTAAATTCATGTTTTAATTACTATTGTTGATTTTTTTATTCATGTTTATATTATTTTCTTCAATTGATATGTGATACTGGGTGTTTTTTCCAATAAACCTCTTGCAGATAGCAATTAAGCACCTACTCGATGACAGGCTCTACCAAAAGATATTGCTCGTTTCCAAACATTCATTCATTTACTTGCCGTTCATCAGAACCATTATGGCACCATAGATTGATATCCCCACAAAACCATTCAGGTTTTTTGACATCCATACATCCATAAAGTTGAAACTGAACAAACATCCACACTATATTCACAGCGATTAATAACTTCCCAAATATACGCCTTAAAGCTACCATCAAACCTAAAACCTGCAAAAAAACTACAAATTTGCCATATTTTTCATTTTTCACGAGTACACATTCTAGGTTATATTTATATTAGACATTATTTGAATACAGCTGATTATTGCATTTCAAGGAGTGACACATGTGTGGGATCTGTCAACTCTTGGTACCAGTCACAAAACATATTATACTCTGAAGGTTTAATTCCATGCTATTCAATGACAACACGGTGACTTGTGTGGTTATCAGCGGCCATTTTGTGAGGGTGCGACAGGGTTGCCAGATTGTGCATCAATATCCCGTTTCACCCTCCTGGTCCCAGTGGAGTAAGTTCCGCCAACTGTTGGAATATACTCTACTATGCTTTATAAGACTATTCGTGACATTTTTCCCAAAATCATTGCACAACACTTGAAAAAATGCAAATGAAAATTTAAAATTATTTCCTTGACGCCGCAATATAGCTCCGTCGGTACCTTGGGTTATACATCTTGACAGTAGGGATGTTCGATACGATCCTATATTTAGAAGTATCAATACATTTCACGAGTATCGTCATCTTTCGATCCGGACTGTGTCAGAAAGAGTGACTGCCATTTGGCCGCGACATTACCCTGCCAAATCAGACATATCTTTCATCATTTTCAAAGAAATTGTACAAAATCTTCAAATTTGTGAAGTTAGCGAGTTTCACTTTACACGTTGTTACCAGACATGCCGAAATCATCAGTTGCTGCTGTGATATTCATCCCGACCACTGCAACCCCACGGCTAGGCGACCTGTATGTTAAATTTGTATTGATACGGCAGCGGGTATGCTATAAATCATATGTCACAGTGTTTGTGCACTGATTGCAACGGTTAGACGATACCAAAAATATTTTCATAAATAGGAGATCTTTCCCATTCCGGATCGAACAATCTACCAAGGATGCTTATAATCATGATACCTAGTAAATTTTCACGAACAAATTCAAAACCAGCAAATGTAAAAGATTCATTCCGCACCCTCCACCAAGGGACGTGATCGTCGTTAGACTTGGTAACCGTTCGAGTGTCAGATAGTTATCCCCGCCAGTCAAAAAGAAAAATAGACAAACAATAAACGTTACTAGTTTTTTGATTTTTGGACTTAAAAGCCATTATCTGTGAAACATTTTTCATAATTTTTTGTCTATGTCCATAGTAATTGCATTATGCATCAGGGAGATTAACCCATAAATTAATATTAAGACGTAAAGGAAGATGAGGAATTGGATGGAATGTATTTTATATTCTATTTTCTTGCAAAATACAGACAAATCCACACTATTCAACAGGTATGTAATGATAACTTTCACTATATTGAAGTTGGTAAATTCAACAGTGCCATGCATTAACAAACATCCAAATCTGCTGCCAAATCTAACAGCTATAAACTCGACCTATTATTTGCCGCATTCCCATTCGCTGAGGGGGATAACGGATTGTCAAATGTAAACCTATAACATATATCAAAATACATGAAAGTTGTCCTTCTTTTTCTGTACAAAAGCATCATGTTGGAGTCAAAAAGTGGTCTTGTTTATAATACAGTCGAATTTTCACGATTTTATTCAATATTTCAATAGAAATCACTAATATTCAGAGACCTTTGACAGCTTCCGTCAAATTGCATTTCGATAAGGTATTTTCCCATTGGTCCATAATATTAATGTTGGTGAAATTGGCCCTAATTCTGCTTAAAAATATCTCTTAGAGTTTTTCACTCATGTTCGTTGAAAAAGGTGCAATTTTAATTCCTACTTTTTTAATAACGATGAAATTCACTATGACTAATTTATTGGTTAATATTTCTAAAACTGCCGTGTTGAGCATTATGAGGGTATCTGCAACTTTCGGTTATATTTGGTTATTGATCCCTAGTAAATCAGTTTCTCCACTCATTGGTAAGGTTTTTCGGCCTAATATTCAATAGTTTTCTTTAAATCCCACATTTTTGTTTTATGTATCTGCATAAATGTCATGTTTTATTAAGGTGTATGAATTCTAAGGGTGTGATTTTAGATACGACCTTGTAACGTATACATAAAGCTTTTATGACTTTGTTATGCAACAGTTGCCATTTGTCTTGCTTTAGTACGTTGACTAGTATTATTCAACCCCGAGAGCAAGCCGTAAGTATTGCAGATATCACTCAATCCGTTTATTAAGTTGTGCATACGGATATTTTGTTGATATTATTGTTTTTAGTTGGCTGTATCTGCTTAATTAATTCTGAAATTATATGCTCACGAAATTCAAGTATCTCAATGAAAATGAAACAATTACGAAGTGAGAGAATACTAAATTACCGTTGCTGAACATCTGGTGAAGAGACAGAGGTCCAAACTTCTCTGTGCGGCAGAGTGCATCTAAACAAAAAAACTCAAGAAGGTAGCTTTTAAGTTGAATAAACTGGCTTCATGGTTCCGATCCTATTTTCTACAAAAATGCATAGATTTTCGTGTACCGATACTCAGGTCAGTTTTACAGTATGTCTTGGAGGAATGTAAGATGACCTCCAACAAAGACGGACAAGCTTTAGCATAATTATGAGAACAACTGACAGGAAAAATGGGCGCCGACGAGATTCGAACCCGCATCTCATCGACTCCGTAGAGATGACCTAGCCAATTAGTCTACAGCACCAGCTGTCAACCAACTTTCAGGATTGACTGTTATAGGCAAATTCAATCCCACCCATGAAACTGTTTTCTTGTTCTTGTGTGAAAGCGTTTACTAAACATACTCAGGTAACTGTTCTCGCGAGATGGTGCCGTGGTAAGTACCCACGAGACGTCGTGGTGTAACTGGTTTCTTTCACTTGAACGCCGCCAGATGGGGCATCAAGCAGCTTGAAAGGAAACGGAAACAGTGGCGTGGGCTGGATTCTAACAGTCGATCGAAGTTGATTGAGAGCTGATGCTGTAGACTAATTGTTAGATCGGCTCGAATCCCACCTGCGCATGTTTTTCCTTTCTCTCAAGTTTTTTTATACGAACTTTTTTCATACTTCAAAGTGCTGATTTTGCCCTTTGATCTCCATGACGACATTATGCAACACCCTGTACAAAACCGGGTTCTCAAATTAAAGTCATTACATCGTACTCACGTCTTGTATAAAATCTAGTTGTACTTCAAGTGACGTTCTACTGATACTAAGATTATCCTTCTTCAATGAAAACATATCCATATCCATAGAATTCTTATGGTGCCGCTAATAGACATCCACTGTCACAGTACGTGACAATGGGTCTATACCGACTGCCTTCCAATTCACACAGATAACAAATGGTGGAGGCTTGCTGTTTATGTAATGAATCAGGTGTTTTTTCTCTTTTAATATTCTCGTCAACACTTTAGGTGTCGTCCGAAATGCTTACTTATATAGCTGTTATAGACAAAGTTCCTTTTTCATCAACACCAAAGAAAGACCCGTTTTGGTTTCGCTCGACGCTTTTTTCGGATGGAAGTATAAAAAGCTTTTATTAGCCATTAGTGCGTGTAAACGATCAAGAAATCGTCTACCGCCAGCTTCTTGTGAATCTTTCCGTATGGTTAGCGGCAAAGAAATCACTATACAGAAAGTCAGCTTCGTCTGGTGCTTCTTGTACAGACATTGTTTTTATTCATTTCGAGGAAAACACCATATGCTTGATCAACATTTTTTATACTGCTGAAACGTTACTTAGCAATAGCGAAAACAATACCAAAGATAGATCAAGACCTGTGTAATACATATTTTTCAGCGTGTTAAAGTATAGTCAAATTGCATATAGTCCTTTCATGCAACACCAGCTCAATTTTTGGCGATTTCGGATTTTTTATAGTAAGCGATAGATTGAGGTATGGCTCATTTAATATAAAAATAATAATAAATAATAGAATAATAGTTTAAGGGCCAGTTTCACCAACATTAATATTTGACGGTCAGTTGGACCAATAGAAAGAGGCCTTATCGATATGCATTTTGACGGAAGCTGTCAAAGCTCTCTGAATATCAGTGATTTCTATTGAAATGTTGAATAAAGCCGTGAAAAAATGGTACATGATAGATGTAACATTATGTCTTTGTGCTTTAGAACTAGGATAAGTTTTAGTTCGGTTAGCTATAAAAGCGTGTTTTTTAGTTTTTTTAAACTTTTATATATTTTTCATATTTTTACTTATATATATATATATATCAATTAGTCAGATGGTATTGAAATGTCTTATAAATCATTTCGTAATATGATCATTTCATTCAAAGCTTCACTGGTGCATGGGATTTTTCCTGTTAACTTAGAGCAATCAAGTTCTTCAATCCGAATACCGTCTAAAGATCTTACACGACTAAGTTGTCCAGCAGAAAACAGTCGCGAGCCTAGATAAATGACTGCATGATAAACTGTACAACCTTGTGGAAGCCCAACACAGGATTAATGGCAACATTCGCAATGTACAGGGTGAGAATGCACTACCCTTGAAAAAGCATCTGCCTCCGTTGTACTGCGCCGAGTGTCCAAACCAACAAAGAGTAAGTGCGAAACTGCACGCATGCGCAGATCGCGCGCTAGCTCTATCCCTCTTACACCCCTACAGAGGATCTATAAAAGAATTTTTCAATCCTGGTGGTCCTAATAAGGATAACGGAAAACTGTTATCAAATTAGTGGATTGTCATCGGTCCTTGATACGTGTGCGAAGTTTCAGATTAATCAAACTTCTGGAAATTGGTTAAAATTATGCTCAAATATTCCGTTACATAAATACATACATATACATACATACATACACACATATACAGGGTGTTCCATAATTATTGCGACAAAATGATAGGGGTTGTAGAGGGCATCAAAATGAACAATTTTGCCTTATAAACCCCTGTTCGGAAATATGCCGTTTGGGCTGCAGCAAAAAAAAAAGATCAGTTTCTTGAAACAGCTTACCTACAGTAATTGCTCAAAGTGTCCTCCATCTTGCTCAATACACAGCTGTGCACGATTGTTCAATGATCGGCGAACTCTGTGGCATACCCCCAGTATGTCCTGAACATGTGCGGACGCGGCCATGACTCTTCCCAGTAGCTCTTGTTGGTTGGGAACAGGAGTTTCGTACACCAAAGCTTTCAGATGGCCCCAGAGAAAATAATCCAGTGGGGTCAGGTCGGATGACCGCGCAAGCCAAGGCACAGGGCCACCTCGGCCTATCCACCTATTTGGAAATTTGTCGTCCAAATACTGCCGCACTTGTAAAGAAAAGTGGGCTGGAGCGCCATCGTGTTGAAACCACATGTTGGCTCTTATGTTCAGTGGCACATTTTCTAATAGTTCCGGTAGCACATGCTGTAAGAATCGACCATAAGCATGCCCATCCAAACGTGGTGGAAGTAAATATGGCCCGATGATATGCTCGTCCACAATGCCGCACGAGATGTTAATTGAAAACTGATGTTTGTCTCTATGGATGGCTATGGCATGAGGGTTTTCTTCATCCCAAATGTGACTGTTGCGGCTATTAAAATAACTGGCCTTTGTAAAACAGGACTCGTCAGTGAACAAAACGAGCGACCAAAGTTTGGTTGCCTCATCTCCTGCTGCAGCCACCAACGACAAAAACGTCGACGCGGCAGATAGTCCTCTGGACCCATGGCTTGGACTTTTAAAAGGTGGTACGGGTGTAGTTGCTGGTCATGGAGAACCCTCCAAACAGTAGTTTGAGACGCTCCCACATCATGTGCAATAGCACGCACCGCTGTACGCGGATTGGCCTCTGCATGATGCAGAATCGCTTCCTCAAATTGCGCCTCGTGAAGGGCCGCCTTGCTCCCGCGAGGTGTCTGATGCTGCCACTGACACGAAGACGTCCATGAATCCTTGTAAAAATGGCGTGATGCGAATGAGGACATTCTGGAAACCGTTGGGCGTAGATTCGCGAGGCTCCTCTTCCGTTACCACCAGCTTCTCCGTAAATTAAATGCATATCCGCAAGTTCCGCATACGAATAACGCTGCATTTTAACACTATGGTACTGTTACTTACTATCTAGTTTGACGCACCACTCAGATAAATTAAATGAATCGGTGTGGAGAATTTACGATAACAAAAATGAAAACACAGCAGGCTTTTTTTACAAACCGGCGAGACCATGAAATGTGCTAGACGAACATTTTGCAGCTGGTGAATTTTTTGTTTCTCTTAAGGTAAAATTAGCGGTAGTGCTCAAACGGCATATTTACGAACAGGGGTTTATAAGGCAAAATTGCATATTTTTATGCTCTCTACAACCCCTATCATTTTGTCGCAATAATTATGGAACACCCTGTATACAGGCCAAGTTAATAAAAGAAACGAATAAGCCTATGTTCAAAAACGCATATAACGACATAGGCTTGTTTTTGCGCTACAACTTGACAGTTTCTTCTGAACGAGTTGGATACAGACAGTAGCGGATCCATGGGAGGGCTGGGAGACGATTCTCCCCCATAAAAGCACTGAAAAAAACATTATTTTGCAGAAAATTCTTATCACAGAGCATTTTCCCTCCAGAGCACTAACGAAGCCGAAAATGGCTGTGACGTGGCAAAAATACATGTACAAGCCCCTTCCCACCTCAATTGGCCCACTTCAAGATTTATACCAAAATATGCATTTATAAACTAAACATGACGAAACTATTTACTTCTAAAACAATTTATTTTCTCAAAAACATTTTAGATAAACTCTAGTCGTAAAAAATTGAAATCACTTAGACCTATAACTAGTAGAAAATCTGAACAAATAAGAAATGGGCGAATAAATGCGCGAAGTTAACAAAGCAACAATTGAAAGATTACCATTGGGTAACATCACCTTTATTTTTTATTACGGCTGAAATTCTTTGGGGCATAGTGTTAACTAAGTTTTGGCAAAAATTTAGTGTAAAACAATCCCATATTTCTTGAAGCTTTTGTCTCAGTACGGTGATTGTACGAGCAGGATGTTGTCATAGAACCTTTTTCATCTCGTGCCACAAAGTTTCAATAGGTGATAGATCTGGACTTCTAGAAACCCATTTCAAAAGTGGTATTATATTCTTCCATCCATCTTATAGCCTTTTTGAGGTATTGCACGCTGCACCATCTTGCTGACACACAAAATCTTGGCCGGATGTCAAACATTCTTCCATCAATGGTGAAAGCGATTCTTCTAAAATTGACAAATAGTTGTTTGTATCCACATTTCCATCAATAAAATGAAGTTTTCCTACTCCATTTGATGACATACTGCCCCAGACCATAATGGATGCTGGAAATTTCACTTTTCTCTTCAGACAGTCAACATGGAATCCTTCATCACTCCATTGTATCGCACACCATTGTTGAGGTGTCCATTGGCTATGTTCTTTAGCCCATCTAAGCCGATTTTTCTTCTGCGGTGGAGTTAATAGTGGCTTTTCTTTGGCCTATAAACAAGTTGTGCAACTTTAGGGTTTTTACTTCACTTTTTTTATAAGAAAACTTACCTTGCAAGTGCTAAATCCCAGTTTGTGGGCCTCTCTATGAGTTGTGGACCTCGAAATTATCCTTCCAACAGCGTCACTCCACAGAGCACTTAATTGTAAATAATTGGCGCTCCTGTTTTTCACGACTATTCTTCTTAATGCTCTTCGGTCGGCATTTGTGATATTACT